TATATGTCCTGACAAATACACAATAACTATGGTGAATAAAATTACAACACACGCTGTTCTTTGAATAGAGATGTTCAGCGGGCTATATGCGACATATCCAAATCGCCCAATTAAAGTAGTAAGAGAAGCACATGAAGGAAACAATTGCTGCAGTGTTTGTATGCTGGAGAGGAAAAGCACAGCTTTTTACACAACTTTTAAAATGTAATGTACACGAGAGCAAAGCCAAACGTCAAAGGAACAACCAAATGTCAACAAGGAGAAGCACACGGTGGGCTGGGACACCACCGTTGAGGGCAAGTAACCCTAAAATACAACAAGGTTCCTTTGTGTCCCTGCAGATCCTTCTTTTTTTTTTTGCGGTACGCGGGCCTCTCACTGTTGTGGCCTCTCCCGTTGCAGAGCACAGGCTCCCGTGGGATCTTCCCAGATCAGGGCACAAACCCGCGTACCCTGCATCGGCAGGCGGACTCTCAACCACTGCATCACCAGGGAAGCCCAGATCCTTCTTTTAAATCAAGAGTGGAGTCCAACTTTCACCATCTTGGTAAATTCAAGGTAGGGATACCTCATGTGGTCCAGATGCCAGTGGATGAGACGAACCCCGTGTCATACCTAGTCCAAGATGTGATGGAGACTGAGTGAATTGCAGCCTTTTCCATGTGTCAGGATTGTGATGGTGTAGCTCTGCTGGGTCTGAGATCTCAGACTCAGAATTTGTTTAATCTAATTCCATAATATGTGTAGGTCCCCTCATGACAATAGCAAAACCTCTAAACCCATCTTAAATTGTATAGATTAAACCAAATCTCTTAATGCATCTTACCAAGCTGTGGTCTGCTGTCACCAACTTAGAATAATTCTACCTCTCCATACTCAAACCTCAGGTTTAAAGTGCCTCTTTCCTGAGAGTAAAAGCCTGAATTAACCTGTGACTGTCCAACAACCTTCCTTTCACTATAGGCACCAAGGCTCAGTGGAGGGGAGAAACACTTCCTCACCTCTCATTTCTGACACTGAGGGTAAAAATGAAACAGAGCATTTTCTAGTTATCTAAAAACTACTCAGAAAAGTTTTTATTCACTCAAAGCTGTAGAAGAAATCATAACTTGCATATTACAACATTCTGAAAAACTGTTGGAGTCAAAAATTACATTTAATTTTCTCTATAAACAAAGTTTTTTTCCTCCCCAAAGGCAAAACCAACACAAAAATGTGTTTTGGGGACTACTTTACTTCTATGCTGACTGAATATTGATAATGCAATATAATGCTGTTATTAGTCTTTGTGTAGTGAATAAAGTTTTTAAAGTAGAGGATAAGGTAGACATGTCACAGGAAAATGAAACGATTTGTATTTCAAGCTGTTACTTTTATTCTTGCTTTGCAGTTACAATATAGATATTTTGTCAAATGTCCTCAGACTCCTCAGTTTGACAAATGGTACTTTACTCCCTGTCCTTCTCTAAGACATTTTTACCTTTTCATTGTTCTAAAATGTATCATTCATAAAGGAGAACTCTAATAGAAAAATGTGTCACACAAATAACAAAGCCTCCAATTCCAAACTGGTTTAAACAGTAAGACTTCATGACAACCTGTCAACATTCCTGTTATTGATGGTTTTGTTACAAGTCTTACGGAATTTTTTTGTGGTAAATCTGAAGATCGCATGTTCAATTCAACTACCTCTTTCTTTGCCTCTCCTCTGGTCTCCTCCTCTGCCCACAGAAAGACTAAGGCAATTAAGCAAAGTTATAATTCTAATTATCAAGCAGCTATTAAAAGAAATGACATTTATTTCACTCTGAAAGTCTGATGTAATAAGCACATAAAGAAGTTCCACATTAAGCAAGCTTTCTCTCCACTGAAAGTAGGTCAGGTAACAAAAAATAAAACAGAATTCAGAAATTAAACTAATGGCTTACAGTCAATCAAAATGCACTTTTTACATTCTAAGTCCATGAGTCCCTTAGGGCAGGGCACTCACATCATCTATCACTCACTGGAGAATGTCCAAACTAAGGGCCTTTGAGAGGACTAGAAACTTCTCACCAATTCATCCTTGCTGAGTACTACTTTGTCACACTAGAGAAAAAAACCTGCAATGCCACTCTGCAGAGTTCCCAGGAAAGTTTAGCATTTCTGGAATTCCAAATAAATGTTGTTAATTTAAAGGAATAACTTTCACTGTCAGACAACAATGATAAATGAAACTAAGAAAAACATACACTGAGCTTGGAAATTTCCTCATGAAAATAACAATTTCTAGATTAACACCACACACTTCCTTTTTGGTGGTATTCTTGTTTTTTCTGAGTCCTTAACCTCAAACCTTCTTTTATCTTGTATTTGCCCACATCTGGATAAAGAGGAAATTCATTGTTTAAGAGTTCTCTTTAATCCTTCTGTCTTTCTTTATCTGGTCTGCAACAGCTTGAAAATGAGCCCGTGACAACAGCTATTCTGTAATGGATAACCTGTCTCCCAATGACATTATCCGGAATGACTTGACTTACACAAACTAATTCATCTACATCTCTGCATCACATAGGTCAATTTCTACTTTTCCTAATGATCAGTAATTCATTCTTATTCAACCAACATTCAGACTTTATACCGAAGTATGCATTCGTTTATTCCACATTAGCTCTTTAGCTTACTGTCGACTTCATGGAAAGATCGACTTACCTGGTATACACCATCTCCTGGACCTGCCGCTCCCAATAGGCATTTCATAGCCTTTGGGGTTGAATAGTATTTAATCTCTGCTGTGGCCTTAATGATTCCATCACAGTAGACATTGACATTGACAGAGCCAGCAGGAAAATCTTATAAAACACAAAGAGAGAGTTAGGAGCTGAGTCTATAAATGCATGTACCACAGTATTATATCTCTTAGAGAATATGAAGTCAGGCTTTAAGAATTCATAACAATTTTACTAGCTTTTAACACTTAATTGTTTTCTTTTTTTATCCTTATTAGTTAGAAACCACAAAATAGAATATGTAATTTTGCACTTAATTGTTTAAAAAAAACTTAAAGGATTAAAACATATGTTAAAATTATAATAAAAGCAAAACACTAAATCTTTTCTCCTTATCTTCTAACCTCCATTTTTTGGAGTAATCTATAATCATCTCTACATAATACTTTGAATTTACAACAGTAAAGTCATTCATTAAAAGTTAAGTATTTGTTATTAATCTGAGGAAGAAAGTTCCCATTACAGGAAAGTTTCTTAAAATTGTTTGGAAAAAGAAAGAGTAGAGTTGATTGAAATTATAGAACTTTTATTCAATTGATAACAATGAAAAACCCTTGGGAAGGCAAGGTTTAATGCCCTGTTATTTAAGTACTATTTACCCCATCCATTCATCCTTTTTGTGAATAAGTTGTTCAAGGCGACTGATACACCCCATTGTAAATTTTGCTGTAACACATCAAGAAAGTTAAACTTACCCGAGACTGTTGTGCTCTCTATGAAAGAATAACACTAAATAATCACTTCAGTGGAAAGGTTGTGTTTTATTGTAACAAAATTAAACAACATTTAGCTCTTTAAATTCATTCACAGAACACACTTTAAAAACTTTCACTCTTTGTCACAGAGATATTTCCCAAATTCTCCTGGAAAATTGTCATGCAAACATCTGGGGTTTGGAATAAGCCATTAAGTACAGGCCACCTGATGAAACCACCTGATGAAATGTTGAATATTTAAAAGTTCTTAAGGTTTAAGCATTAATTTTACTTTATCTTCTGAAGAGGATAAAGGACCTCTTATAATATTGCTCAGGAAAATTTAAAGCCAACATAATCTTATATTTAACTAGATCAAGAAGCTAAAATTTCCTCCTCTCATGTTGCTTGACTAGACACTTAACCTGTATTATAAAGAAAATATATGTAGAAAAGTTCTCTCTTCCAAAAGTAAGTATTCATCCAATAGAGAATGTAAGAGAAATCTCAAAAAAACTGAAAGTTGTAAAGTACACCTCATCGGCTACAGCTGTGTGCACATAGTAACGGGGGTTCTGGAGTTACTGGAGTGAAATGAAGTCAATTTCAGTAGATTTCATAAAGATGATTTTGAAAGAAAATATTGACTTTGTTTATCAGAAAAGAGATTAGGAGTTTTATGATGGGATGTTAACCTTCTGAAAGAAAGTCAGGTGATAAATCACGAAAGATATATGGTGAGAATATTTGCTTGGGACTTCTTTGATATAGGATACTTAAAATATTCTAATTTCTTTAGAAGTTAACATGAGAATAAACTTATTTATTCCTGATATCTTGGTCAGCATAATTGTACTTTAACATAATTTTGTTTTCCTTTGAATTGTTACCAAGCTCAAAAGAGACACACATTTAAAAAGTGTATTAGTATGGCAAAATGTTGGGTTGAGTAGAGAAGATTTTGAGTTCTGAGAACTATAAGAAGAAAACCTCAGAGTATTTGATATACCTCAATGCTGAAAGTCTATTAACACACACACATACACACTTATTTATAATGGTTAAGAGGAGGTCTCCAAAGAAGTAAAGAATTCTAGTTGGTCTTAGAGGGGTACCCTTCTCTAACAGAAAATGCTAGTTGCCTACCCCAATGTCTTCCTTTCAGAAACAGAATTCTGATTTTATTTCTTCCTAGGCACATTGCTGATCAACTAAAAAGACTAGATTTTCTATTCTTCCTTTCAGCTATATATGACCTTGGGATTAAGTTCTGACTAATGAAATATCAGCAGATATGTCTTACAGAGACCTTCTTAGTTTAAAGAGGCCCTCTCCATTTCTTTATCCCAGTGGTGTGCTGATAAATGGATTCTCAGAAAGAAAAAAAAAAGCACTGATGCTTGTTTTTCTACACATAGTTTTGCCAACTTCTGTGGTATAAATATTCCCACCATGGCCCATTTCAAGCTACCAAGGTATTACGGACAGAATTTTGTTTCCCCCAAATTCATATGCTGAAGCCTTAACCCCCAATATGACTGTATGTGGAGATAAGGCCTTTAAGGAGGTAATAAGGTTAAATTGAGGTCATAATGATGGGGCCCTTATCTAATAAGGATTTATGAGAAGAGACACCAGAAGTGCATGTGCACAGAGAAAAGGCCATGTGAGGACAGAGGAAGAAGGTGGCCACCATCCAGTCTGTGGTATTTTATTATGGCAGCCCAAGAATACTAGTGCACAAGGGAATACCACTGAATGTGAAGTAGGGAAGAGATGTGTAGAATTGCGTTTTGCAACCTGAAATGCAATGGTTCCAGCACACCTTGCTTCATCACATTGCTTGGAATATAGGGTGTGATAGCAAGAGGCTTAGAGGTCATCTTGTTCCATGATGATTATGACCCCACCTTAGGGACTATGGAATGATGACTAGAAATAAGCCTGCATCTGGGACAGTACTGTGAAGTTGCCATACCAGCCCTCAACACCAGCTAGACTCAGTACAGGAAGCTCTGGGTATAGCACAAGAGAACATTTACAGAGAGCAAACCACATTTTAAGTAATGTGACTGATTGAGCCACAAGCCAGGTGATCAGAAATGAAGTCACATGAGCAGTTTTCCTAGACTGGAAAGAGACTGACAGATGGAGGCCATCTCCTGAACCTGAGGCATCAATATTCTTCCAAAGAACCCTGAGAGTGGGGAAGGGTCCCTGGTATGTTTCCACTTTAGGGTTAGATCCTCCATTTTAATTTGGTATTCAAAGAAGTAGCACAAAAAATTTTTAAAGGCTTAAATCTTTATAGACTATTATTAGATGGTCTGAGATACTGACTGAGATCATTTCCTGTCCTGGAAGTCACCATTGGGTACAGGGACTATATACATGAGATGACACAGAATTAGGAATGCTCATGAGCATGACTGCCCAAGAATGAAAGGGGACAAATTTTATATCAAGAGATGTAAAGAGAAGACTAGGAGGAGAGAGGGGGCAATACGAGGAGTATAGTATTTATAGAGAAAGATGGTCCCCTCAATTCTTTTCCCCAAAAGGAAGAGAAGGAAGTTTTTAAATGGTTTATCACCCCCCATTCAGAAGCTGAATGTGAGTTATTCCAGAAAAGCCACTCATGTTTAAGGAATTTGCTAGAGGGAGAGACTGACACTTTGTTCCTCAGTTGGATGTTCAGTGTTGTCTTATACATTGTCTCCCTTATCTCCAAACATCCTATAAAGGAGGACTTAAAATGTAAGTTGAGAATCTATTTTATCAATAAGAAAACTGAGGTACAGAAAGATCAAGAGACTTGTCTAAAGTTACCCAGTAAATGGTTCAATACAGAATAAAACCAGTCCTCTTGGCCACCAGTTAAGTGTTTCCTTAACTACACTGCGGATTCTGCACAAATCACTAGCCTCGAAGAGCACACTGGGCACTCCCTCTTACTCCGTAATTGGTGTAGAGCAAAAGGAACTCTATTGTACAGTCAGTCCTGTCCAATCAAACTTCCTGAGATATGTTCATTGGATATGTTCTAATGAAGCACCTAAAATATGGATACTGCAACTAAATTTTAAATTTCATTGAATTATAACGAAGTTTAAATAAACAGATGTGGCCAATGGCTATCATATTGGGCAGTGCGGTTCCAAAGAGTAGTTTCTCCTGCTGTGGTTTGTGACCCATTAATTCGTCACGACATCAACTTAGTAGGTTCTAACACTGAAAAAATGAAAAATAAAATATCTTTCCCTCTACTTATATTACCCAAATGTTCCTGCATGTTGTCTACTTCTTCATTATAGCCCTTAACATATTAATCATAGTTATATAAAATTCCCTGTCTGATAATTCCGACATCTGTGTCACATCTGTCTGGTCTGATGTGTGTTTTATCTCTCTAGACTATGTTTTTTCCTGGCTTCTTGGGCATGCTTTGTAACTTTTTTGTTGAAAACCAGACATGCTGTATCAGATGTAAGAAATGAAACAGGTAAGTGTGTATTGAGAGTAATCTGTGTAGGAGTTAGGCTGTATTTACTGTTTGCTGTAGCTGTGGGTACCAGAGTCTGCAAATTCCTCTACTGTCCTTGTCCTTGTCTTCCCTCCTGACCTTATGCTTCCCTAAGTACTCCTCCTTAGAAAGATTCTGCATCTTGCATACTTTCAACTGTAATCCACTGCCATTACGCTGGAACCCTGCTGTGGTGATGGTCAGGTTGGGGGAAAGGGAAGCGGTCTAATCTTATGATTAAATCAGTCTTTTAGTGGGCCTAGGTCTTTCAGCTGCGACCTTCACAAGTGTTTCTGCTGTGGCATAGCTTTCCCTTCCCCACCTTAAGTGAGACTTGAGGGCTAGAGGGGGTTACAACAGGATGGATGCCCTTCCTCAGCTTGGATGAGGCTCTGGTAAAGTGGTTTCCCCTGAAAAGTAGACCTTTGTTATGGAGAACATACTGGGAGTATTTCACCATTAGTCTTCTTCTGATCTAGCAGAGCCCTTCAGGGGATCTTTCTCAGATCTTCACTGTGTGAACCTGATGGGGTTCCTGGTGGTAAATTCCACAAAATTATAGGTGCCTCTTAAGACTACAGCCCCCAGGAGTTTCTTACTTTCAAGCTAGTCCATACTCAGCTTCCAGCAATTCATCAGAATTACCATTTAAGTGCTCCTACCAGTTTATGGCTCCAGTGACTTCTGCTCCAGGTAAGCAGATCTTAGATGTCAGTCTTGATTTACCTTTCTCTCCAGGTTTTGGGATGGTTGTTTACCCTACAACCTTAGTTCTCCAATGACTTCAAGAAAAGCCACTGATTTTCAGTTTGTTCGGCTTTTTCTTGTTGTAAGAATGGGAGTGGCAACTTCCAAGCTCTTTACATGTCAGGGCTGAAACCATCAGTCTAAGTATTGCTTTTAAAACTTTTGTTTTCATTATGTTTTCATACATATGTACTGGGTCATAATGTAAAATGTAGTTCTTGCTAGGGTTCAAAAAACTTCAAGAAACTGTGCCTTGAGGCAGAGAAAGTAAGACCATTTCTGCTGAGGCATGTCCCATACGTATTCCCATAATTATTCATGGAACTATCCTGTATATTGCTACATAGCAGCCAACGTTTTGTAAGATAATCTATCATTAACTTAGAGAACACACCAGTTGAAGAAAAGAGTTGGAAAGGTTTAATTAGCATAACTGGTAAATAATGGTTGGTTGGTTGGTTTATTTTTACTACAAATTTGCTGTTCAACCACATGGATAATATTATGGCCTGGTATATATTGGAAAATTTGGAATTACAGTTTCCTCCTTTTCTGAAAAACATCTGAACTTTGACATTTTATTCTTTGCGCTGCTCTTAGCTACTAGGTAAACTGAACATAAAATCTTAATGTGAACAATTTTATTTGACATTTTGATTTGCTATTTGGAAGTATTATCTAAGTACTTCTTAATCTGTAATATTGATTTTTCTGTAGTGATTTAGTCTAACTAGATTTAGTTTAACTTCTAAACTAATTAGTTAGAAATTATTGCTCATTAAATCATTTAAAAATGTGGCAGAAGGAAGTAAGGGGCTTTGGAAGAAAAGGCAAAGAAACAGAAAGAATTCTTTCTCATCTCACTTCTGCATATCCTTGTCCATGACAGGAAGCAGTGTCTAAGATGTTTATAAATGGTTGGTGTAAAGTCTTTCCTTTCTATAATCCAATTCTGACCTACGCTGTGCAAGGAAATCCATAGAGGGGACACATGCTTTACACAACACAACAGAAAAGATTTGTAAATGCCCTGTAAATGGGTTTCATTATACTACAGTCGAAAAAGAAAACAAAAGAGCTCAGGATGCATTTGATATACTCTTTAATTTTAAATATTTTTTACTACATTTCCAAATTTATAATAAGATTGAATATCTTTGTACTTTAAAATATTTTATGAAATTCACACTTATAAAGTTAGGTAATTTTATTCTCTAATTATAACAGGACACCATAAATTCAAAAACCAAGTAGTCCTACATTTATGTCAAAACATTCAGAAATTAATATATTAAATTTTGATTTTAGTACAGTTAGCACAGCAAGTGTGTCTATTCCATCTGGAATTTTAAATCCAATGCAATTTATCATGCTGAAGCAAAGCTGGATAATAAAATGGTTAGGTTCATAATTTAAATAAGGAAAAGAGGGAAGATTGTATATAGAAATGGTACCATGATGATAAAATAGTGAAAAAGAACTATGCTTTCCAAAGCAAAAATAAACTCAAAAAAGATACTTTTTTTGCATGGCAAAAAAAGTAAAGAAGAAAAAAGAAAATCATGAATGAAAATCCAAAAGTCTGCTAATCCTGTTACAATAAAGCAAATAATTTTAGTTCCATATTTAATAGCTGACACATTAAAGTGCTCTCTGCTGACATAAAGTATGTGATGTTACTGGCTGTCATTTTACCACATGGTACACAAACTAAGTTCTCATAATTTACACATTCATGCTTTTGCGAATCCAGTTTAATAATAACAGCCTTGGGTATGTGAAAGCTAAACACAGGAAACACCTGCAGAACAATATTAGTTTCTGTAGGGAACTGAAACCACTTACCATAAATTTATTGAAAGAAACTCAGAATGATGTTTTATATTTATTAAAGCATAAAAAAAATTTCTTACCTAAAGCTTTCATACACCAGACTGTCTTATTCCAGAGGGCTGGCCGTGTTCTAATGCATTTACTATTTGACGTAAATTCAACCTCCACAGAATCACCAATTACTTCATCTCTCAAAATAATAAATATTTCACCAGGATTCTATAAGATGAAAAATATAACCCAATTAGGCATTTTTAAAAGTTTTCATTAACCAAAGAACCCAGTGCATTTATTAATGATAAAGGTCACACATGATAATTATATCTCTCCATTGTGTCTGTAGTTTCAGCCATATTCAGAAATGAAATATATAAAGGTGATTCTCACAGCATTTTAAGTGTATCAACTTGATGTCTATTGAATACTCAATTTTTTTTCCCCCAACACCAGATTTTGCAACTGGAAAGACAGTGAGGACAGAGCTGCTCCCTCTTCCTCTCACCTCATCCCTGTGTGTGAGGTTCTATCTGAGGGTGATGAGCATCAGTTCACAGACCTCCAAGGAATGTAATTCAGTTGCTAACCAAATCCTTTTTTTTTCCAAATCCCTTTCCTTTACCTTTTCAGAACTTGGTGTATTTATCTATATATGAGAGGACTGAACATGTTTAGCTTTAAGACCTCTTATAATTTAATTATGATGAATTGTTTTAAATGTCTAATACAGTTGACGCTTGAACAACATAGGAGCACCGACCCTATGCACAGTGGAAAATCCATGTATAATTGATATTAGACCCTCTGCAATTCAACCAACTACAGATCATGTTGTACTGGGGTATTTACTATTGAGAAAACTCCATGTTTAAGTGGACCCATGAAGTCCAAAACCCCTGTTCAAAACAAATACTGTATGCTAACACATATATATGGAATCTAAAAAAATGGTTCTAAAGAACCTAGGGGCAGGACAGGAATAAAGATGCAGACGTAGAGAATGGACTTGAGGACACGGGGAGGGGGAAGGGTAAGCTGGGATGAAGTAAGAGAGTGGCATGGACATATATACACTACCAAATGTAAAACAGATAGCTAGTGGGAAGCAGCTGCATAGCACAGGGAGATCAGCTCGGTGCTTTGTGAACACCTAGAGGGGTGGGATAGGGAGGGTGGGAGGGAGATGCAAGAGGGAGGAGATATGGGGATCTATGTATATGTATAGCTGATTCACTTTGTTATAAAGCAGAAACTAACACACCATTGTAAAGCAATTATACTCCAACAAAGATGTTAAAAAAAAAAAAAAATCCATGTTTAAGTGGACCGATGCAGTTCAAAACCCCTGTTGTTCAAAGGTCAAGTGTAGTTTTAATCTTACCTAATAGAGGTTCTCTGGTTACTCTCTACGATGAGTATCAGTGAAGGCTATTGAGTTGACAACGGTTATACATCTAAAAATTTCAAGATTTTATTAAGGTGGAAAAGCTAAATCTATATACGTAAGATATAAACGGTTACTGAAAACCTTTTGAAAACAATCCAGAAAGAAAATTAAGGATAAGAAGATTAGAAATAATATAGAAAAAAAGGAATAAACACTTATTGAGCATCTATTTTATACTAGGAATTATGCTTTTTATGTAAAGCCATTTCCTTTAATCCTAACCAAAACAAACACACACATACATATACACACAAACATACACACATACCCCAAAACCAAAATGGAAGGCTATCATTTTTCTCTTTTACAAATAGGGTAACTAATACAGAGAGTTACATTCTGAAGATCAACCAGAACTATCTAAATTTAAAATCTGTACTACTCTTTACATCTTGCTGTTTAACCCTTCAAAATAACAAAAATGAAATATATTTTTATGATTATCTCAGATATCACCTTTCAAAGGCTTTCTTCAAAGTCAAACTAAATTTCAGTCCTTCACAAAATAAACAGAAACCTCATTTACATGCTCTTATAAAACTGTGTTTACCCAAAAGTCATTAATTTCAAAGTTCTCTTATTAAATATTATCTCCCTAAGCATAAATCCCACCAATAAAACTTACATTTTTAAAGCTCTGAAAAAAAGAGTTTCTACAAATATGTTGATGTTAAAAAAATCATTTCAGGGCTTCCCTGGTGGCGCAGTGGTTGAGAGTCCGCCTGCTAATGCAGGGGACATGGGTTCGTGCCCCGGTCCGGGAAGATCCCACATGCCTCAGAGCGGCTGGGCCCGTGAGCCATGGCCGCTGAGCCTGCGCGTCTGGAGCCTGTGCTCTGCAACGGGAGAGGCCACAGCAGTGAGAGGCCCGCGTAACGCAAAAAAAAAAAAAAAAAAATCATTTCAGCTGATACACATCCACTTCAGGCATTTCTCCATCGGAGTCTACCACTCTCCAATATTTGTCCACAGATTATTTTGAACTAAATTTCTCCAGTAAATTGCTCATCGAGAAAAGATCCCATAATTCCACCTATTGCTCTGGCCTCACACACCCTGCATGTTGGAAACACTTCTCTGTTTCTTTGCTTGTGCCCCCCACACACTGCTTCCTCCTCTTCACAGGACCTCACTGCCAGTGCAGTTCTTCAGCTCCTCTAATGCTCACATCTCACTCCTTACTCTGAAGCTTTAATGACTTCCCACTTACTTTGGCTCAGATCCCCAAGATCCTCGGCTTCAAACTTCTTTGGAGTTCTCTTCCCTAGTACATCTCTTCTTGTATAACTTTGACCTCTCGCTTTCCAAACTTAGTGAGCCTTAGCATCCTCTCCCAGTGTTTATTCACCTAGAGAACTCATTCTCATTCACGAGGGCTCACACAGGCTGCTTCTTATGCAACAGATTCTCCACCTAATAGAGGGCAGGACTCCACCTTTCAACCATTTCCAGAGAAGAATTCTCAACAAAAGACAAGCATACAGACCACCCCCAAGGAGGCACTGACACCTCATTTGTACCCGGGACCACCTTCATGGGCACGTAACCTCTGCAGCTTCACAGGCCCTGCACTTGGAGAGCGCTGCACTTGTCTTAATGTTCTGCTGTTGCAGCTTGAAATGCTTAATAATTTGAACAGAGGTCCCTACCTTTTCATTTTGCACTGGGACCTGCTAATTAGGTAGCTGTTCCTGTTTGTACATACGTTGGCATGCCCTTGAGTTCCTCCTCTCCCTCCATCTCCCCATATGCATCCTCTCCATTGAGGTCCAACTCAGCTTTCGCGCACAACTTCCGAAGGAATCATGAAACATTTCGCACCTGTACTCCTCATTTGACCCTTTCTAAGCCATGCCCTCTGGTCTTAATACGCTTTTCATGCCTGTGTCTAGGCTTCCCAGATAGATTTTAAACATCCCGAAGCTATTTTTATTTTTTCATATCGTTGCGGCATCTTGTAAGAATTAGGTACGTAAGATAATCTGTATATATTTTTCAATTCAGATAGAATACCTCTATAAAAATATAACATTTTGGGGGCTTCCCTGGTGGTACAGTGGTTGAGAGTCCTCCTGCCGATGCAGGGGACGCGGGTTCGTGCCCTGGTCCGGGAAGATCCCACATACCGCGGAGCGGCTGGGCCCGTGGGCCATGGCCGCTGAGCCTGCGCGTCCGGAGCCTGTGCTCCGCAACGGGAGAGGCCACAGTGGTGAGAGGCCCGCGTACCACAAAAAAAAAGACATTTTTTTATATCGAGCAAGCTCTACTCCTTATCCCCCTCAGGACTCACAGCTTCATCTGCTTCCTGCATCTCCATGCACGAAGGGGGGCTTCGGAGGAGGGAAGGCCTGCACTCGTCCAGCCCTGTCCTTAATTATTATGGGCATCTTAATTAAAGATATAATTATTTGGGCACATTTAATTCAATGGAGGAAATATGAGGACACTCAAATGGTCATAAATTTCGTGTTATCAGTTATGAAGCTGTTATTTTGCTCTCAATCTTTCTGACTTCTCTGTTTATCCCTTATTTAGCTCTGACCATTCAGAAAGAGAGTTATAGTAATGATCACTTCCAGACTCTACAGATTCAATGCAATGGTCACAACCCTTGAGACTTCACCAAAAGGGCTGGAACTTTGTCTACAATATAACACAGGTAGTGGAGTTTCTAGACTGTCAGGATGGGTGTCTTTAGGCTTCAATGAATCATTAAGTACCGGTAACAAAGGATTTTGATCTTAGTGGATCATATCAGCTTACTACTATGACTTGCACACAGACAAATGGCTCTTTTCATATTCATAATTAATAGGCACTAGCTCTACAAGCACAGGTGCATGGGCCTCATTAAGCCAGCACTGTGCAAGTCGCTGCAGCTGACCCTGATCTGACCCGTGACAGCAGAGCAAGGATTAGGTTATGGCAATGCTTCCAAATTTGGCTGTTAATTCTCACCTTCAGAATCACCTGGGAAGCTTTTAAAACTCCCAATCTCCAGGCCATAACTCAGACCATTTACATCTGAATCTCTGGGGGTAGGATTCAGACATTATTACTTTTTTTTTTCTTTTTTGTGGTACGTGGGCCTCTCACTGTTGTGGCCTCTCCCGTTGCGGAGCATAGGCTCTGGACGCCCAGGCTCAGCGGCCATGGCTCACGGGCCCAACCACTCTGCGGCATGTGGGATCTTCCCAGACTGGGGCACGAGCCCGGGTCCCCTGCATTGGCAGGCGGACTCTCAACCACTGCGCCACCAGGGAAGCCCAGACATTATTACTTTTTAAAACCTCCCCTAGTAATCTCTTTATGCTGCTTAGTTTGAGAACCACTTAGTTACAGGGAAAAAACATCTTTTGTCATCGTAAAACCTTATCTCAAAAGGGGTAATACTTCACAACATAGACATTTTAGGCATTGATACACATAATAATATTTTGCTGCTTTAACTGTATTTTTCAATTAAATCATAGGACTTGACTTTAAGTTAAGGTGGGCTACCAAGGACTAGTGTGTAACTTGGTGTCAGAAATAAGTGGGCAGTGCTGTTAGCTTCTGTGTATTGTTTTAAACTGGATTCAGTGCCAAGGAGTGAACAGATAGGAGCTAATCTCTGAAGTTTTTGTAGTTTGCCTGTGGGCCCTTCTACAAGTCACACCCCTTTATATATTCTCAGAGTTTCACTAGAGTCACTGGTTACATGATCTGTGGTCTACACAGATTTAGGTTTGGAGTCTAATATTATGGTTGCAGCCACAAAGCTAAACACCAGTGAAGGTCAAATAAAATGAAGGTCTTTATTAGGGAATACGCCATGTTCTAGAATTCAGATAGAAAAATGATTCAATGAAATTAATATAGATCCAAACGCTGATAAGGCCCCTTAAAAGGCCTTTTCTGGTTATGCTATAACTTGAAGAACTAAATTTGCTCAAGAAATCAACAAGAGACCAGACTACTTTTAAAAGCATATTTCAGTCTTATCGGAACGGTAGCAGTGGGAGAATAACATAAATATAAAGAAATATCAGCTAATTATACCAAAGGAAGTAAAGAGGTTTGGGGTGGAGAAAAGCTGCGATTGCAGCAGATTCTATCAAAAGGAAGGGAGAATGACATTGAAGTCCTGCCTACACAGGTAAAACAAGATAGAAAAAATAAGCTCACTCTTGACTGCTCTTTAGGACGGTGCTACTGAAGAAGCAATAGAGAGGCCATTACTGACCCGTGACTGGGGCTCAGAGAAATCACAGGAGAGGCAAGAGGCATCTGGGAGCAAACCGCAGTACTTCCGAGAGGGCCATTGAGGAAAACATTCATAGGCTCTCTCTTAAAGATTCAGGTCAAATCCATTAAAAAGAAATCCAGTGACTGAATCACTTTTTAGAGATGATGCAGCTCTAACAAGTGATCATAGAACAACTGGCAGGACTGCAGACAAGTCTCTGAAGAAGAGTACTGCCTCCTTGATGCCATTACTAGGTGATTTGAAAGTGACCTATTATTAAGAGGCATGAATGTATTTCCTATCCTCTGGGGCAGGATTTATCCTTGGCAGTACTGACATGTTTGAACCAGAGAAGTCACTGCCGTGGGGACTGCCCTGTGCACTGTAGGATGTTTAGCAGCATCCCTGGCTTCTGCCCGCCAGATGCCAGTAGCAACCCCCCAGTTATGACAACAAATCTGACTGCAGACTTTGCCAAATATCCCTTTGGGAGAGACAGCCAAATCAGTCCCAGATAAGAACCACTGCTCTGAGGGAATCCGCCTGAGAAATTAATAAAATTAGGACTTTGGAGTAAATACACAGCAAAGGGAAAAGAAGCTAGCAGATAATAGACCAGGTCCAGTTCTGGTTTAGATGTTATTCCAATGGAAGAATGCCTCCCAGGTGGATTATTCATCAAGGACAAAAACTGGATAAGATTCATTTGAACAATGGATGTGCTTATTATCAGCAGCCTTAGAATTCATTGATTTCATATCTCTCGTGATCAATTACCCTATACAAGACAAAATCAGGAAGAATATGCTAGAAAAGCAAATATCCTGGCCCACACCAACCAAAAAAAAAAAAGCTTAACACATACTAAAGTAGAACAAATATTGCTAATCCTAGAAAAGAGGCAAAATTAAGCAGCAGAATTAAACTGTTAAAACTCATTTAGGTATTTCTTAAAAAGATAGGGAATAACTTACATAAATAGAACACTGCAGGCACATCTTCACTAGTGCATGAAAAAAAACTGTTGAAGAAAAAAAACTTTTTTCTGCTATTTTTGAAGGGGCACAAAATATCAAGGTCCAGGAAGTCCGAAATCCATGGAAAGGAACAATGCTGGGAAAGATGACTCAGCAGAGGGATCAATACTGCCAGGCTCCTGGGGTCAAAAGCAACAGCAGCCTTACCTGTTGCCTCAGTTAAACTATCTACTTATGCTGCTTCTCCAGAGCAGAGGAGGGAACAGGGAGAGCACTTCTCCAGGAGCAGGTCCACAGACCCAAGCAGTTCTGCAGCAAGAGGCAACAGGTGAGACTAAAACTAATTCTCTGGTCATCAGAGAGAATGAAGATGATGCCATTAGATTGAACCAGTCAACTCAGCACCAGCATGCTGGAAACATAAAACCATAAGGGGAAATCCATAGATTTTGAAGATACTGGGTGGGAAAGAAGCACATCTCAAATATGACCTGGTGACTGGCAAGGATAGTCTTGTAAATTTCTAGAGTTTTATACAATGGCCGCGAAGTCTCAAAATATCACTTCCGGAGAAAGGAGGTCGTATCCTTAAGTGGACTCTACTTACCCACTAATTCAAAGACTTCTCAGAAATGTTCAAAGGTTGTGCTTTCAGACAATTGGCATAGACTGAACGTTATCCTGGCAAATCTGAAACATGATTTTCACTCATTTGGATACAAATCATCTTTCCTGTGGTGCTTGGAAATTGGGACTTGGATTCAGACTATACTAAGATCTAGGTTCTGAGAACACAAGGTTTTGACTGGGATGACTATTTTTGGTCCAGGGATTTGTTTATTTCAATTTTTTAATGTGTAGGTCTGATGCTAAAATAATCTTATATGACCTTTCAACTCTTAGGACTGTTTAAAAAGTGGGGTACCGGGCTTCCCTGGTGGCGCATTGGTTGAGAGTCCGCCTGCTGATGCAGGGGATGCGGGTTCGTGCCCCGGTCCGGGAGGATCCCACGTGCCGCGGAGCGGCTGGGCCCGTGAGCCATGACCGCTGAGCCTGCGTGTCCGGAGCCTGTGCTCCGCAACGGGAGAGGCCGCAACAGTGAGAGGCCCGCGCACCGCAAAAAAAAAAAAAAAAAAAAGTGGGGTACCCAAGAGAGATTTGGAATTGAAATAATTTAACTGCAGAGGGTCTGAAAGAATTGTATACATGTCAGTAAAAGCCCACAGTTCTGTTACTGAAAGAACCCTCATCCTACTCAGCCATCTGAGTAGGGCAGTGGGGTTTAAGTTTTGGATTTTGGTTTCTCTGCAGTTTAGTAATGGAAAGGTCTTACACTACTCAGACTTTACTCTTGCAGATATTTTTGAAAGCAGCTATTTAGACTCATTGCATAATTCCTGGTGAGCAACTTTTAGTTCCAGAGGGTTTTTTTTTTTTTCCTTTTTTGCTTTGACTTTCCCTACTTGAGAACAGTTCTAATTTCCATTTTATAGTCTCTTCTATTTATTTCTGTCTCTTCCATTATTTCTGACTCAATACGACCCACTGGTTCTGCTTGTTTGGCCTGATCTCCCTTCCTCGAGTAGGTTGTAATTGTTCTTTGCCTGATCCGCTATCTCAGTTGCCTCAAACCTGTACAGTTTCACTTCCTGGGGTCTTTAAGGGAGTGTCAAAGAAGTTTTTGTTCCTCTGGAACTGATAACATAATAAAACGGCGACTCTCCTGTTTGGGGATGGGGTCTGCAGGTGAGGGAATTAAGCTTTCCCAAACTGCACAGAACGTTCTGCTTCTCCCAGGGCTGCTGGTATCATCAGGATCAGGGGATTCTCTTCCAAAATATGCCTCCCAGTAAGCAGACAAGTGCAGCTCCTGTCACATTAACCTACTGGCGTCCACCTGAAGGACCCTCTCATGCAGCTCTCAAGGTCGTCCTGTATCTTTTGCTCTTCCTGGTCAAGCACACCATAGACACCGAGGACCAGCATCTTTTTATTGTCTGGAGATCACGAAGCCCAAGTTTTGGTCAAGCTCTAGCAGTAGGCTTATTTTAGTGGCTCAGTCCAATGAAGACTTAGAAGGAAGAAATGGTGGCAACATGTGTTCATATAGTCACCTCCTGAGAAATCCACTCCCTCTAACATTATACTTTTATTCCCCAAAGGACCAGCTCTTCTAGCTCTATGATAGTTCCACTTCATAATGTAGGCCTTTGATATATGTTTTATAATTTAAAAATCAGTGGCCATAAAAAATAAGTATTTTCAAATTCTATTCAAGAATGTATTTCCTTTTATGAAAATAAAATCCTTGATCTGGTTAATATGAATCCAACTTTCTTTTAAATAGCTTGATATATATAGCAATTGTAAATCTGTTTGTAACACATCAAGTAACATTTAATAAAATGATGCTTTCATATATGTTTCAATACTTTATTATTCAACAAATATATATCAAATGCCTACTACCAGATATTGTTCTGGGTTCTGAGGACATTGCCATGAACAGAGTAGACAAAAATGCCTCTATGTTGTAGCTTCCAGTGTTAGTTACATTCTAGTGAAATGCAGTATCCATTAAAATAATGCAGTCACTTAAATAACAAGGTGTCTTTACTGACCTCACACGGAATCTCAGCGGGAAGCACCACTGCCTGTGATATGGTGCTTCTTGAAGCTTCTGATAATTCTTCAATTTCCTTTCTCTCACTTATTTGCCCAGAATGTTCCACCCTTAGGTCTGTTGGAATAATGACATCGAGGTAGTCCTCAGAACCTAGAGGAAAGTTCATGAATGTAGATTACAATATAGCTAAGGCCATATTATTTCCTCCATTGCTATAAAAACTAATTGCTAAACAATTGATTTATTTATAATTGCTAAACAATTAATATGTGGGACAACCAAACTGAGTTTAAGACAGCTAAAGTAAATGAACCAATGTTAATAATTAAAATAATGCTTCATAATTTAACTAGTATTATAACCGTAAGCTACTAAACTAAATCAAATACATAATATTTTCATCCACTAGTTAAGTATTTTCCCCCAAAACATCCAACCACCATTTAATATTGTCTCTTAATATTAAAACAATAAATCTGAAAAACATGAAGCTATTTCTTTTCAATGCCTCTAATTAAGAAAATTTATTCATTTTAAATCAGAACAATTATTTACCCTTCACATATATTTCTAATTTTAAAAACAAAAAGCATAACTAGGAGACAATCACTAAATAAACTAGTATTTCTATGAAACACTAGTTTAATAGTGAAATATTAGTGTTCATCAAAATGTTAATGTGTTCTGTGAAAAAAGTGTCCTGAATTAAATAAGTTGGGTTTCTTTATGGCAGTATTACTAAGAACACTAAAATATGCTAATGTGAATTTTGAATCTCAAAGAAGGGAAAAGAGTATTTGATTTTTAAAACATTTAACATTTATTAACTTAGCATCGTCTCAATCATTAAGACACTTTTCTCTATTGAAGAAGAGCTGTGTTAAGAGAGATGGATAATACTTTTATTACTCAATGTTTCAAAGCCCAGAGCATTTTATTAGGGCACAGAGCCAATATGACTGGAACCAAGGCTCTCACCACTAGAGACTCTCACAATTGTCATCTTAGGCCAACCTCAAATGTATCTCTCAAATCCTCAAAGAAGGGAATTGGAGAAAAGGAAAACAGCTCCTGACAGCTAGATACTGGCCTGATACTGTGTGCAGGCCTTGGTGTTGCTAGGAGGTGGCCTCCTGTTCTCCTACGGAACATCAACAATTTTGCAGGACATCCCCATCGGACAAGGCCACCTGTCACCATGATGGATTAAGTCAGAGATCAGGCCACTTTGTAATCATGTCTGAATCCAGGCAAAAACATGAACACTGTCCAAACCACAAAATAACCAAACATCCTGAATCCTGGCTCCTGTGAGTGATGTTGCTTCTTTACCAATTCCAGTCTCAGCCTCTTTTCACTTCTCTCGCCTTCCAGGTAGGGTAACGAGCTCCTCCCAGTTTGCTTGGGATATTTTTGGTTTGGGCACTGAAAACGCTGTGTCCCAGAAACCCCCTCAGTTTCAAGTATACTGGTATAGCTGGTTACCCTGCTTCTCAATAAGCTGTTAATACACGAAACCATAAAATTACGTGTGCTTTTTGACAGCAAGCAAACTATAGCAAAGCCCTGCTTCCAGGAACCCTTCCTCAAATCATTTAATGCAACCCTAAATCCTACAATGAGTCTTTTCTTAATACAGTCTTCCTGAGGTGTCCCATGGTTCTCCATGGTGGCCTTCTCTTCATTGCAACTAGCAAAAAAAAATAGTTCAAGGACAGGTGTGTCCTAATGGTCTTTGGCAAAAGGGAATTGACAGGATAAAAAGGAAGAAGAGTCAAAGGCAATATAGATGAAGTTGGCTAGAATTCTGGTTTCATTGCATCCAGAAAGTGAAGTCAGCAGTTTCATACAGGTAATTCTAACAGAAAAGCAGAGTAACAAAAGTGATGTCCTCTGGAGAGGAGCTGTCTCCATGCCACATCTAAGAAGGAGAGAGTTTTGTTTTGGGGTTTTTTTTTTCTGTCTTACGAAAGTTACAGAATAAAAGTACAAAAGCACCTGGGATTTCCAGATTCTCCCAGTACTAGTCTTGCTTGAAATGAAATGAGAAACAGCCTTTATTTCTCTAACAATTTTAAACACTTCCATAAGCAGTCTCATTCTCTCTCTCTCTCTCATACACACACACACACCCCAAATTAGTGAAAGGTTGTATAGAACTGGCTCAATCACTTTGTGAACTGAAGAAAGAACAAGGAAACTGATTTCATTTTATATATCTTAAAAGGTGTAAGTTGTTCCACTGCAGCAGTATCTAGGATGTTTTCTGCTAATTCATCTGTGGTATTAGGTTAAGAAGAGCTATTTTCTTTACCCTGAGGACATAATTATGGATGTACAAAAGATTTACCTCTATGACTGTTCACAGAAGCACTGTTTATAATGCAGAAAACTGGGAGCAGTTGAAGCAATACGGGACCAGATGAAAAACGTGTAATGTGATAAAAGATACTGTCACTAATTAAAATTCCATCAAACAATATTTAACAACAAGGAACAAGTTTATGATATAAGTGAAAAAAAATCAAGTTACAAAACTGTCAGTTTTGTAGGTTCCCATTTTAGTAAAATAAGAAGTATAGGACTTCCTCCAGGTTCCATATTTAAGGAGCTTTGGAAGTTGCCCCTCCAACCTAACAAACAAAAAGTTGAACAGACTAAAACATCAATAACTTTTCTTGGATTCTTAAGAGAGGCGTGGACACAGCACAAACTGCTGCCCCCAAGGCTGGAGAGACAGGCAGGTGGATAGAGAATCTCAGCTTTACCAGAGCAGAAACTCAGGAGTGGAAACGGCCCCAGCAGCCAGGGCCAGGGTAGAGAAACCTGAACCGTAATTGATGAATTGCTGGACACTCAATGAGGACAAGTCTGAGAGTTAAAAACTCCAGGGGAATTCAGCCAAAAGGTGGGGGGAACACAATATTTTGAAATTTACCTCTAGGAGCTTGATAAGATTCCCACAGCAAATACTGGGGAACATGCCCTCCTGCTTCAATGGATCTGGAAACATCTTTAAATACTCCAGGACACTCTCTGTTCTTAACAAGGCCTGCCCTGGTTGGAAACTAGTTCATCAGAGCCAAATCTACTGGGGTATTACCACATTCTAATCGACCAGAGGAAGAGAAATACCCAACTGCAGCCCACTGGAATAATCCTCTCTCACCTAAAGGGGAGAAAAAAACCTGAGGAACTCTTGTGAGGTCCACAGTCCAGAGGCATAGGCTCACTAAAGGACTGAAACCCAATCACAGAACTCTAGAAAGCCTCCTCTCCGCCACACCTCACCACCACACCTCACCACCACATTACTAAAGGCTTATTTACAGCAGTTCTTTTTAAAAAGTATATTATGTCTAGTTATCAAGAAAAATTACAAGGCATACCAAAAGGTAGAAAATACAAATTGAAAAGACCAGAGAAAGCACTAGAATCAGACATGGCAGGGATGTTGGAATTATCGGACTGGGAATTTAAACCAACTCTGATTAGAATGCTAAGGGCTATAATGTGGCATGGACATATATACACTACCAAATGTAAAATAGATAGCTAGTGGGAAGCAGCCGCATAGCACAGGGAGATCAGGTCGGTGCTTTGTGTCCACCTAGAGGGGTGGGATAGGGAGGGTGGGAGGGAGACGCAAGAGGGAGGAGATATGGGGATATATGTTTATGTATAGCTGATTCACTTTGTTACACAGCAGAAACTAACATACCATTGTAAAGCAATTATACTCCAATAAAGATGTTTAAAAAAAAAAATTAGGGCTTCCCTGGTGGTGCAGTGGTTGGGAGTCCGTCTGCCGATGCAGGGGACACGGGTTCGTGCCCCGGTCCGGGAAGATCCCATATGCCGCGGAGCGGCTGGGCCCGTGAGCCATGGCCGCTGAACCTGTGCGTCTGGAGCCTGTGCTCCGCAACGGGAGAGGCCACAACAGTGAGAGGCCCACGTACCACAAATAATAATAAAAATAAATAAATAAAAAATTAGACAGAATGCAAGAACAGATAGGCAATGCAAGCACAGAGATGGAAATCCTAAGAAGAGCCATAAGAAAGTGCTAGAGATTAAAAACACTGTAACAGAAATAGAGAATGTCTTTGATGGATTTATTAGTAAAGACTGGACATGACTGAGGAAAGAATCTCTGAGCTAGAGGATATATCAATAGAATCCTTGAAAACTGAAGAGCAAAGAGAACAAAGACTAAAAAAAAATTGACAGAACATCCAAGGACTGTGGGACAACTGTGAAAAGTGTAACATATGCATAATGGGAATACCAGAAGTAGAAGAAAGAGAGAAAGGAACAGAAGAAATATTTCAAAAAATAATGACTGAGAATTTCCCCAAATTAATGTCAGACACTAAATCACAGATCCAGGAAGTTCAGAGAACACCAACTAGGAAAATCCCCCCCAAAAATGGGATATACCTAGGGATATCATCTTCAAACTGCAGAAAATCAAAAATAAACAAAATTTGAGAAAAAGCTAGAGGAAAAAAATCCTTACCTATAGAGGAACAAAGATAAGGATTATATCTGACTTATCCTCAGAAACCATGCAAGCAAGAGAGTGGAGTGAAATACTTAAAAGTATAAGAGAAATAAACCACCCACCCAGAATTCTGTACCCTGTGAAATTATCTTTTAAAGCTGAAGGAAAAATAGAGATTTTCTCAGACAAACAAATATTGAGATAATTTATTATCAGTGGACCTGCCTGAAAGAAAAAAGAAGTTCTTTAGTGAGAAGAAAAATAATATAGATCAGAAATTCAGATCTGCATAATGAAGGGAGAGCATTGAAGAAGGAATAACTGAAGGTAAAATAAATATTTTTCTTATTTGTGATTGATCTAGAAGATAACAGTTTGTTCAAGATAATAACAGCAACAATATATCCAATATGTATTCTTATGTAAATATTTACATATATACGCTTGTGTATGTTTATATATAAATAAAATAAATGAAAGCAATGATATAAAGTATAGAAAGGAAGAATTAGAATCATTTTGTTATTATAAGGTAATAATACTACCTATGAAGTGATACAGTGTTACTTGAAAGTAGACTTGCGTTAGCTGTAAATGCGTATTGCAAACTCTAGGATAAACCCTAAAAAAAATTATTTTTTAAGTA